ATGTGTTGAGTTGTAGTTGTATACGCCTGACGTGTCTTGTAGTGAGAGGAAAAAGGTATGTAGTGTCCTCACATTTAAAATAACTTTATATGTGTATGCTTAGTCATGACGACAATCTGATTCTAGACGTTTCTGGAACTGGAAACATAGGGAAAATAATAGACTAGAATTTTTCCCACTATTTAACTGGTGATTGGATAAACGCCTCAAGGAAACGTTTTTTTGGTAACGTCTCTTTTTAGTGATCTCCTTCTCGAAGTTGTACAGTAGCACGTTTCTTCATTCTTGCTATATCACGCTTTGATATTTCAAGAACGTTTTGTCCAACATGACAACAAAATTTAATGTCAATACACCAGGTATCATAACATGAGTGGAGGTGCACAACGATTATCAAGTATGGATAAGAAGTTTCGTGACAAGACGAAATATCTCGAAAATCTCTTCATCTAAAGTCACTTTACGAATGAAATTGCTGAAAATAAACTCTTCTCTGAGTAGCATTTGCATATTAAACAGGCGTAAGGAACGACTCTCTCAGGAAAGCAATAATTCTGCGTTCACTTATATACAATTGACAAATTCCAGCACTACACCTTCAATGGTGTATTGCTAACAATACACAGACTATATAGTCTGGTTAGAACAAGACGCCAATAAACTTCTAAGTCTTCCAGGCATCATGTGTCTTTCAAATGTTGAATAATACTTCATACCTGGTCACCATCATCTCTTCCTTTAAGAATAGTCAGTGAGGCGGTAAAATATATTGACCGCTTGTTATACTTGGCGAGTTTCATCAACTCAAATGATTTTGTTGTTGATGAATCTAAGCTGGAATACAGAAGGCCCATTGGACACTAGCAAGCCTATGTCATGTCTAATATCGGGAAGATATTCGCTACTACTCTGTAAAGGAAAAGCATACTGTACAACAACTTGCTCTATCCTTTTATTCATGTATCCTCCAGGATCGTTGAATGTTAGAGGTTTTTAAATACAATATTTCTCACTATTTCTCACGTATGATGTCATCATCACTTAAGAGATGTCGATATCAGACGGTGAGTACGAGGCAGTGAAGATAAGTTGATCTATAAAGTTATGAACGGTCGTCGAGTATATTGCGCATGGCAACCATCACCAACTTCGAAGAGTAATGTTAACCAAAGTAGCAGTCCATTGGAAGCCCAACACATATTGTCCTTGTCTGTCAGTCTTATCCATGCATGAATATTTAGACTGCCTGGCTCGGGTTTTTGAGATAAGTGGAATTCGTAGTTAGCGACTGTTTGTGTTATGATACAAAATCTTGTCTTTTTTTACGCTGCTATGAAGTATGACAAGCCAATGTAATATTTATCTGTACTAGATCCTACTTCTATTTGTTCACCTCTTTGTTGATGCAGATGAAACAGTATTAGGCAGTAGCTATTTTCTAACATTCTACTGTCACATTATGAATTTCACCTTACCATGTCAGCCTTAGTATTCGAAGTGCTGAAAGTTTCCCCTTTTATTCAAATTAGGAAACATTCTCAAGCTGATTCTTTTGTAGTAACTCGTTTTGCGATTATCTCAGTTTTTGTTAACAGTTATAACAAATAAATTGAATAGTGTACAATCTAAGTAGTATATTCAATCAATGGATGACGTACAAATGCAGCCAGCATTATCTGCATTCATTGGTTTACCAAAATTCGTATCGTAAACTTGTTAACAGTACCATTCTACAAATAAACTTGATACATATATTTCACTGATTATGCCATGCAAGATGATACCCTATAATTGATTGTTATTATTACTATCAATATTATTATTTGTCCCTTGGGCTCCAAGTGAAACATAGGGATTCAATTACACGCCTCCATTCCACTCTCTGCTACACAGTCTTCAAAACCTCACTCCATGACTGCCAACAACCTTTCATTTCTTCCTCACACACCAACTCCTCCATATCACCCTCACCTCCAACGCCCAACTCGTCGTTTCCCATTTCAATTCCACTCGACCACCTGGCCTGGTCTAACGTGTGATGTCCCCTATCATCCTTCTCAGTGTATGCACACTCCATCTTCACTTTCGTCTTCTGCATATTTGTTGGGTGATAGGTTCTTGCGTCATTGGTTTGTTCCCAGAGTTCTTTGTTTCTTATTCTTCCTGGCCATTTGAGTGGAGTGGGCGTAGGTGGCAGTGCTGATGAATATCTGTAGTTTATTGGAAATGCTTTTCGTGACACGCCAAGTTTCTGAACCATATCGAAGCACTGACTTCACGCTGGCGTTAAGAATTTGAATCTTGTTCTTTGTGCTGAGTGCAGTGCAGTAGATCTCCACACTGATTTCAGATTAATGAACACCTGTATTGCTGTCTTTCCGATCCTGGCTGGCTTTGACATCGTCATCTGTGCCTACACCTCTGCCACCTGCAGTTAAAACGATGCTGCCTAGATAGGTGAAAGAGGCTACTTCCTTGAAGTTTCTTCCGTTGATGGTGATTGGTACTCGTTGTCATTGGTGGTGGTGATTTCTGTTAAGTATCTCCATCACCTCCATCTTCTCTACCTTCACTTCAAGTCCCATCTTCGCTACCCTGCCTCGCCTCATCTGTCAACTAGCTAGTTTTCGCCTCCACATCTTCCAGCTTGTGCCACAAGACATTAGACACCAGTCATCATCGCTGGCGAAATCCAAATCTCCTTGGATATACTCATACGTCCGTCGTATCCCCTCTTCTCACAGCCTCCACTGTTTGCTGCATCATCCAGTCCAGTCAAGTCAACCACAATCAGGAGGATGATGGGTGATAGTAGACAGCCTCGTCTTACTCCTTCCTGTCTTCACTTCACTTCACTTCACTTCACTTCAAACGCATCACTGAGCTTCCCATTGTGAATTGATTGGCGTGTAGTGTCTTCATATGGTTGTTGAATGAGGTTGATGAAGGTTTGTGGTATTCCATAGTGTTGAAGCAACTGCCAAATTACTTGTCGGTCGACGCAGTGGAGGGCTTTTTCACAGTTGATGAAGTTGAGGTAGACAGTTTAATGTCATTCTATACTCTGTTCTATGATGATGCATAGTGTGATGTTGCGATTTGGTCGGCACATGATTTATTCTTCCCGAAGCTAGGCAGCTTGTTTCGGTCGTAATTTTGAATGTGGAGCATTTTTTACTCTCTCCAGCTATAATTTATTAGTCTGCAACTATTCTCAGTTTATTGATAGGGATTGAGGTGGTGAAATGTGTCAACCACTTCATTTACCTGGGAAGTTGTATCAACCCATTGAACGGGTTGGTTTTTGACAAAATCTTAGCTCAGATGGGGAACACTCGTTTGACATTTGCTGACTTGTCATCTGTAGTACCGACTGGCGAGGTACCTGACTATGTATACTTAGCATTCTGAGTCACTGTCTACCTACCTAGGTTTGCCAGTCTAGCTAGAAGAAGTTAGATTGCGTTGAAAGAAGGTTCAACGTGGCCAGATCAATGCATGGCACTAGTTAACGAGTCCCTTTTTGTTAATGTGAGTCATTTGAGGAGATGCAGACTGCCTGACTGAGGTACTAGAAACGACAGAAATCAGCTGTTGATCACTCTTACTGACATGGCTGAAAACCAGTCACAATAACGTCTTCTAAAGCTTGAATATTTTTAATAGCCCTCATCAGCGAATTCCCTCCACTTTTACATACATTTTTTTGCATTGACGTCACTTATGTAGAGTGAAAGATTTAAAGTGGAGATGGGTTGGGTTGAGAAGACCATTCGAGGACATCACACATCAGGCCAGTCACTCAGGTGGGATCAACAGGGGAAACGACGACTTGGGCGTCCAAGGCGAGGGTGACATGGAGGAGATCATATGAGGAAGAAATGAAAATTTGTGGGCAGTCGTGGAGAGAGAGGTTCAAAAGAATGAGGAGAACAGAGTAGAATGGAGACGTGCTACTGAAGCTCTAATGTTCCACTAAGAACCCAAAGGATAAATAATAATTATACTGTGTACATTTTCTTCAATTTTACAAGATGAAACTCCTATTCCCATGTGAAAAACAACAAAACTTGTTCTTCTGAACTTTCTTTACCAAATGAAATAAAATTTGATATACAGTATTCCATATGAAAATGCTGATGAACATAGAAATTAGATGACTACTTAAATGGATTACATAAGTATATATATACCAGAGAAAATAAGTAACTAAAGTATACAATGATAAAGGAACTGAAAGAGAAAGGAAATGAAAATGCTTATTTTATTATCATCCAAAAACTAGAACAGAATATGAAGAACACAGACATACCGATAGACAAAAACATACAGAAGTATACAAACAAGTCACAGGCATATATAAACCGAAAAATGAAAATAATCATATCAAATACATATTATAACAATTAAGAAAGAAAATAGGAAATTATAAGTAGTATCTGTCAACAAAAGAAAAGAGTAGTACATAGAGTTATTTCGTCTAATTTACTCCTCTCTCTCTCTCTCTCTCTCTCTCTACTAAAACACAAACTTTCCACTTGTCTAAACTGATATGTGTATCCGGTTTGTAAATGAATCTTCTAACAACTAGTCAATTAGTTTATTACTGCTTAAAACAATAATAATTGCTAAGAAATCAATATACTACTCACAAAAATATATGATTGAATATAACAGAAAATGTCTAAAAAAAAACAAACTTATAATCAAAGGAACATAGTATGAAAAAAAAAGAGAAGGGTTTCAACTAAAATAGAGTAAATCATATCCAACCGATATGCTGAAGGTTAAATTCACTTTGTTTTTGCACAGCCTTATATTTAGTTCACAAGATAAGGAACAATAGACATTAAATGTGATCAATATAACATAACTGATTATTTGTGTTTAAAAGTAGACAGTGAAACATTCAGCTGCCAATATTTCCCAATTATAAAGCCTGGGGAGTGGGGGGGAAGTAACAAACAAAACTACTTGATTCATAGTAGACGAAGTAACATTTAAAAGTTAATCTGAAAAATAGAAAACAAACAGGGAGAGAGAGAGAGGAAAATACTATGAGAATAATTGAACTTTAAGTAAATAATCTTGTTAATATGTATTGGTGAACGTTTCATTATCATATTAAACATACTATTATTATTATTATTATTATTATTATTTATTAACCTCGCCTGGTTAACTAGTTTACTAGTTACTAGCCGGTCCTAAGCTCAGGCAAAGATGGAAGGTTGGACAGAGGGCTAGCAACCCTACCCCGTAAAACAAATCTAACCGCTAAAGAAACTTCAAAGCACAAACAAAATATAAAAAATGAAAACAAACTTATTCCCCGCTGGAATCGGAGAGGCGAAATGACGCCAGTTGGTGAAAGCCTTCGGGAAGCCAATTGGCCGATGTGTCTTCTCTCGATGAAAGCGAAAGTAAACGTGGGGACATGGAATGTCCGTACGATGTTTGAACCCAGTAAGGCAGCCCAGATTGCAAAGGAGATGAGAAGGTATAACATAGAAGTGCTTGGAATTTGCGAAAGCAGATGGAATGGGAGTGGACTCTCCAAACTGTCAACTGGAGAATCAATAATCTACTCCGGTCACCCAGACGCCAACCACGAGCACACTGAGGGAGTGGCTATCATGATGTCCTCAAGAGCATCGAAGGCTCTCATGCAGTGGGAACCAATCTCCTCCAGGATCATGACAGCAAGATTCAACTCAAAAGGAAGAAAGGTCACAATCATACAATGTTATGCACCTACAAATAATGCAGAGCAAGAGAAAAAGGAGGAATTCTACAGACAACTTCAATCAACACTGGACAAGACGTCAGTTGGCGATATCAAAATTCTAATGGGCGACATGAATGCCAAACTGGGAGGTGACAACACAGGAAGAGAACTAACCATGGGTCGAGAGGCGCTAGGTGAAATGAATGAGAATGGAGAATTGTTTGCAGAATTCTGTGCATTCAACGATTTGGTGATTGGAGGCAGTGTGTTCAGGCACAAGGATATCCACAAAGCGACATGGACTTCACCAGATGGACACACTAAAAATCAAATCGACTTTATCTCAATCTCAAGAAAATGGAGACGCAGTCTACTTAACACAAGGTCAAGAAGAGGAGCAGATGTAGGTTCAGACCACTATCTAGTGCAAGGAACCTTCCAAATCAAGTTAAAAGCCTTCAAGGAAGCTGGTGATAGACCTCAATTCAAGTACAACACTAGGAAACTGAAGGATGAAACTACAAAGGAGATCTTCAAGGCAGCCATCAAGACAAAATGGGAGACATCGAGGGACATCCCTGAAGAAACCTGTGTGGAAGAACATTGGAAGTCTTTGAAAGCTATGTGGAAAGAAACCTGCACAACAGTATTAGGAAGGAAGAAGAAAGAAGACAAGGAATGGATCTCGACGGATACCTGGAAGCTGATAGAGGAGAGGAGGATGGTGAAGCAGAAGATAAACCAGTGCAAGGATGCTCAACGACAAGAGGAACTGAGCACAATGTATAAAACACTGGACAAAGAAGTGAAGAAGAGTGCACGCAAAGACAAAAGACACTTCTACGAAACACTGGCAAGTGAAGCAGAACAGGCTGCAGGTAAGAGAGACCTGACGACATTGTATCAAATAACCAGGTTGCTATCAGGGAAGAGACCAACACAGATGAAACCAATAAAAGATGAAGAAGGAAATTTAATTACAAAAGAAGAGAAACAGAGGAAACGATGGGCCGACCACTTCAAGAAGCTCTTGAATCGACCACCACCTGCACTTCGTCCAGAAATACCACCTGCAGCCGCTGAATTACAAGTGAACATAAATCCCCCAACGAAAATGGAAGTCCTGAACGCCATAAAGCTACTGAAATGCGGGAAAGCAGCAGGACCAGATGGGATACCGCCAGAAGCACTGAGAACAGATGCAGAGACAACAGCGGACATGCTCACACCACTATTGCAGAAGGTGTGGAAGGAAGAGAAGGTACCGGACGATTGGAAGAAGGGTTACCTTGTCAAACTGCCGAAGAAGGGAGACCTCAGTGCTTGCAAGAACTGGCGCGGAATCACTCTCCTGTCCACCCCAAGTAAAATATTAAGCCGCATCATCCTGGAGAGGCTTAAAGACGCACTGGATTCAAAACTGCGACCGGAACAGGCAGGCTTCAGGAAGTACAAATCATGTGCTGACCAAATTGCAACACTTCGTATCATCATAGAACAGAGCGTAGAATGGCAATCAGCTCTATACCTCAACTTCATCGACTTTGAGAAGGCCTTTGACAGCGTCGACCGAGAAGTAATTTGGAAACTGCTTCAATACTACGGAGTACCGCAAACCTTTATCCGCCTCATTCAACAACTATATGAAGATGCCACATGCCAAGTAATCCACAATGGGAAGCTCAGTGATGCCTTTGAAGTGAAGACAGGAGTGAAACAAGGTTGCCTACTATCCCCCATGATATTCCTTATTGTGGTGGACTGGATCATGCAGCAAACAGTAGGCAGCGAGAAGAGGGGGATACACTGGACGACGGAAAAGAACCTAGAAGACTTGGATTTCGCCGATGACTTATGCCTAATGTCACATAAACTTGAAGATCTGCAGGCAAAAACTAACAAGTTGACAGAAGAGGCAGCCAAGACGGGACTTCAGGTGAATATAGAGAAGACAGAAGTGATGAAGATACCGCACCACCACCATCAACAACAACAACAAACTCCAATCACCGTCAACGGGAGAAACTTGAAGGAAGTAACCTCCTTCACTTATCTAGGAAGCATTGTTTCAACTACAGGCGGGACGGACGAGGACGTCAAAGTCAGAATCGGAAAAGCAAGACAGGCGTTCATTAGCCTGAAACCAGTGTGGAGATCTTCTGCACTCAGCATCTGGAACAAGATACGGATTTTCAACACCAACGTCAAGTCAGTGCTCTTGTATGGCTCAGAGACTTGGCGCGTCACGAAAGGGATTTCCAATAAACTACAGACATTCATCAACAACTGCTTACGCTCGCTGCTGAAGATCAGATGGCCAGAAAAAATAAGCAACAAGGAACTCTGGGAACGAACCAACCAAGAAGCTATCACGCAACAAATATGCAGGAGGAAGTGGAGATGGATTGGCCATGCACTGAGAAGGCCGACTGAGGACATCACGCGTCAGGCCCTCGAGTGGAATCCCCATGGGAAGCGACGAGTTGGACGTCCGAGGGTGACATGGAGGAGGTCATGCGAGGAGGAAATGAGAGCTTCTGGGCTGTCGTGGAACCAGGTTCAAAAGATCTCAGAGAACAGAGGTCACTGGAGGCGTGCTACTGAAGCCCTATGTTCCACTAGGAACCCAAGGGACTAATAATAAATATAATAAATTATTATTTATTATTAGTCCCTTGGGTTCCTAGTGGAACATACGGCTTCAGTAGCACGTCTCCACTGACCTCTGTTCTCTGAGATCTTTTGAACCTGGTCCCACGACAGCCCACAACCTCTCATTTCATCCTCGCACGATCTCCTCCATGTCACCCTCAGCTGGGACGTCCAACTCGTCGCTTCCCATAGGGATTCCACTCAAGCAACTGGCCTGACGCGTGAGGTCCTCAGTCGGCCTTCTCAGTGCATGTCCAATCCATCTCCACTTCCTCCTGCATATTTGTTGCATGATAGGTTCTGGGTTGGTTCGTTCCCAGAGCTCCTGGTTGCTTATTCTCATTATTCTGGCCATCTGACCTTCAGTAGCGAGTGAGCGTAAGCAGTTGTTGATGAATGTCTGTAGTTTATTGGAAATCCCTTTCGTAACGCGCCAAGTCTCTCAACCATACAGAACCACTCACTTGACTGACTCAGTGTTGAAAATCAGGATGTTGTTCACGCTTTATGCTGAGTGGAGTGCAGAAGATCTCCATACTGGTTTCAGGCTAATGAACACCTGTCTTGCTTTTCCGATTCTGACTGGTTTTGACATCCTCGTCTGTGCCTGTGTCCCCTGTAGTTGAAACAGTGCTTCCTAGATAGGTGAAGGAGGTTACTTCCTTTAAGTTTCTCCTGTTGCTGGTGATTGGAGTTTGTTGTTGTTGTAGTTGTTGGTGTGGTATCTTCATCACTTCTGTCTTCTCTATATTCACTTGAAGTCCCGTTTTCGCTGCCCTGCCTCTTCTGCCAACTTGTTAGTTTTTGCCTGTAGATCTTCAGGTCTGTGTGACATCAGGCACAAGTCATTACTGGCGAAATCCAAGTCTTCTAGGTTCTTTTCCGCAGTTCAGCCAGCGTATCCCCCTCTTCTCACAGCTCTCCACTGTTTGCTGCATGATCCAGTCCACCACAATAAGGAATATCATGGGGGATAGTAGGCAACCTTGTTTCACTCCTGTCTTCACTTCAAAAGCATCACTGAGCTTCCCATTGTGAATTACTTGGCCGGCATGTGGCATCTTCATATAGTTGTTGAATGAGGCGGATAAAGGTTTGCGGTACTCCGTAGTATTGAAGCAGTTTCCAAATTACTTCTCGGTCGACGCTGTCAAAGGCCTTCTCAAAGTCGATGAAGTTGAGGCAGAGAGCTGATTGCCATTCTATGCTCTGTTCTATGATGATGCGAAGCGTTGCAATTTGGTCTGCACATGATTTGTACTTCCTGAAGCCTGCCTGCCTGTTCCGGTGGTAGTTTTGAATCCAGTGCATCCTTAAGCCTCTCCAGGATGTAGCGGCTTAATATTTTACTTGGGGTGGACAGGAGAGTGATTCCGCGCCAGTTCTTGCAAACACTGAGGTCTCCCTTCTTCGGGAGTTTGACAAGGTAACCCTTCTTCCAATCGCCAGGTGCCTTCTCTTCCTTACACATTAGACATACTACTGATAGTTTATTATGATTAGCCTTAGTTAAAAGAGTTTTGAAAAACTTACTTATGAGCAAAAACAGTGATCAACTGAGAAGATTATTGGTTGAGGTTATTTCGTTATTCCAACCTTAAAATTATCATTATTTGTTTCTCCATGGGTTCCTAGTGAAACATAGGGCTCCAGTTCTACTCGATGACTTGTCCTGGCCTAACGCGTGATGTTCCCAAACGGCCTTCTCAGTGTATGCCCATTCCATCTCCATTTTCTTCTCCAGCATATTTGTTGAGTGATAGTTTCTTCGTTGGTTCATTGCCAGACCACAATATGTCGTTGCTTATTCTTTCTGGTCATTCATCCAAACTTCAGCCATAAGCATAGGCATCTGTTGATGAATATCTGTGGTTTGTTGCAAATGCTTTTCGTAACACGTCAAGTCTCTCAACCATCATATAGAAGCACTGACTTGATTGACTTAGTGTTGAAAATCCGGATGTTGTTCACGCTTTGTTTTGAGTGCAGATTTCCACACTGATTTCAGACTAATGAAAGCCAGTCTTGCTGCCTTCCCCATCCTGACTGGCTTCGATGTCCTTGTCTGTGCCGCCGATAGTTGAAACGATGCTGTCTAGGTATGTGGGTGAAAATAGACTACCTCCTTGAAGTTTCTCTGGTTGATGGTGATCGGTGCTTATTGTTGATGCTGTTGTTGGTCGGGAATCTTCAAATAAAGATATCATATAATTCCACAAATCTACCTTTGATAAGTTTCTTCAAATTCTAATCTTAATTGATAATTTCACCTGATGAAACATTACGTCACCTCATGAAAGTATACTTAAACTTCATCTAAATAATAGCAGGCTTCATTCTATCTGGTTATATACAATACTTACGGTAGTGATGACGGTTTCAAATCGCCTCTTATAAATCAAAACGACAGTTATTATTATTACTTGTCTTTTGGGTTCCCAGTGGAATATAGGTCTGCAGTAGCACGTGGTCACTTCATTCAGTTCCCTGTAGTCTACTCAACCTGGCTACACCACTGCTCAGAAGCTTTCATTTCTTCCTCACATCATCTCCTCTATGTCCTTCTCCACTCCGACGCTCAACTCATCGTTTCCCCCTTCGAGTTCCACTCGATGGCCTGGCCTGAAATGTGATGTCCCCAAACCGTCTTCTCGGTGTACGTCCAATCCAACCCATCTCCACCTTCTTTATCTGTATATTTATTTGGCAGTAGGTTCCTAGTTCATTGGTTCATTGTTAAGCCACAGTTCATCCTTGATTATCCTTATTATTCTGGTCATCTCATCTGCATCTTCAATGTCGAACAAGCCTAGGCAGCATCTGTTGATGTATATCTGCAGTTTGTTGGAAATGTTTTTCTTAACGCATCAAATCTCTCAACCATCCCACACAAGGAGTGACTTACTTGACTGAATTAGTGTTGGAAATCCAAATGTTGTTCCACATGATGAGTGCAGTGCAGTGCAGTAGATCTCCACACTGATTTCAGACTGATGAAGGACGGCCTGTCTTGCTGCCTTCCCATCCTGGCTGGCTTTGACATCCTCGTGTGTACCTGTGCCGCCTGTAGTTGACAGGATGCTACCTAGGTAGGTAGTAGGTAGGTAGGTAGGTAGGTATGTGGAAGAGACAACTTCCTTCAGATTTCTCCCACTGATGGTGACTGGTAGTTGTTGTTGGTTAGGTATCGTCATCACAAAACCAGCTACCACCGTTCCTAGATGTATTACTTAATCGACGGGAGGATAGTTAAGTCAGATGGTCGATAGGAAGCCTACATGGACAGGACAATATCTTAATTTCTATAGCTATTCCCCAGTCCAGTATAAAAGCAGATAAACTCCATCTGCGCCGATGACACAAAGGAGACATGAAGAAACTAACTTCATGACAACAACACTCATATATAAGTTATGCACCATTGAAAAGTACAAAGTGTTCCATTGCTAAGACAAGTATCGACATCTCATTGCCATTTAGAGGTGATTCACATAGCTTTGTTGTGAGGAAACGACTTGGATCGACCATCAGTAAAAAATATTCTGCAGCCAAGGTCATCATTGTAGAGAAGACAAAGTCCATGTTACAGAACAAACCAAAACAACATAAACGGTTACATCATATCCCACTGTGTTTATCAACTTACATGTATATGTGGAACACACATATGTAGGGAGCAGTAATCGTGATGAGCAGTTAAGTAAGGTTGAACGTGTACCTAAATGCCTTCAAAAACAAGTGACCTCAACAGATCCATCTTCGTTCATCACTAAACATGTACGGGAAACTAGTCACAGGAGAGATATGAAAACAGCTTATGAAGTACTACAAAAAAGTAGTCAGAGTCGAGTGCTAATATTTATCGAAGCTATTGCCATCCGTAAATTCAAACTCCCTGCTATATGTATACAAAACAATTTTTACTCACATTGAACCTACCTTGGCGTATCACGAAAAGCATTAACAACAAACTACAGATATTCATCAACAGCTACCATTTACGCTCACCCAATACTGAAGATCAGATGGATGGCCAGAATAATAAGAGTAAGCAACAAGGAACTCACTCTGGAAAGAACCAACCAAGAACCTATCGCCCAAAAATATGCAGGAGACGAAAGTGAAGATGGAATGGGCATACACTGAGAAGGACGATAGGGGACATCACACGTTAGACCAGGCCAGGTGGTCGAGTGGAATTGAAATGGGAAACGACGAGTTAGGTGTCCCAGCTAAAGGTGACATGGAGGAGTTGGTGTGTGAGGAAGAAATGAAAGGTTGTGGATAGTCATGGAGTGAGGCTGAAAAGACTGTAGAGCAGAGAGTGGAATGGAGGCGTGTAATTGAATCCCTATCTTCCACTAGGAACCCAAGGGAGAAATAATAATATAATAATGGTAGTATTGATTTTAATGTTCATACCAAGAGTAACGTTGTTTTCTTTTTCCCTCCCTTCCTATTCCTCTGTTGTTTCCCATTAATTTCATCGACCCTTTTCGTAAATTTTCATATGGTGAATATCATTTTAACTAACTGAGATAGCAACCATGATTTGGCAAACTATTATTGATACTGGATAATGATTGAAATTGAAGCGGGTGGACTCGGACCAGCAACGCCCTGGGTTTCCGGTCGATACTCTGCCAATTGAGTTATGAGGTAAGACTACTGCTGATCAAATTATTTTGTGTTACTTCAGTCATCAAGGGTTTTGCCTGACTATTATATGATTGCGTGAGGCGTTACTACCGCTTGATCGGGTTCACACTAGTTGCCTAGTCAAGATATCTCATGCGAACCTAGTAGCTCAGTTGGTAAAGCATCCAGCCGGAAACCCAGTAGTTGGTGGTTCGAATCCGGACGCGTTCCAGACCTTCATTTCACCTTTAATCATCATCCAGTATCAACATGGTAAATAGTTCGACAAGTCTATATGTGAACCTCAGATTGTTCGAAATGTATGGCTCAAATACATCACACACGTTTCAGATAATCTTCATCTTCTCATTTATCATTTATTACTTTTCCCTCGGGTTCCTAGTGGAAAACACAGCTTCACTTGCATGCCTCCATTCCACTCTCTGCTCTACAGTCTTTTCAACCTCACTCCATGACTATCCACAACCTTTATTTCTTCCTCACACACCAACTCCTCCATGTCACCCTCACCTCCAACGCCCAACTCGTCGTTTCCCATTTCAATTCCATTCGACCACCTTGCCTGGCCTAACGTGTGATGTCCCCTATCGTCCTTCTCCTCAATGTATGCACACTCCATCTTCACTTTCGTCTTCTGCATATTTGTTGGGTGATAGGTTCTTGCCTCGTTGGTTCGTTGGCAGACCACAGTTCCTCTATGCTTATTCTTTCTGTCTATCTATCTGATCTTCAGTATTGAGTGAGCGTAAATGGCAGCTGTTGATGAATATCTGTAGTTTGTTGGAAATGCCTTTCGTAAAGCAACAAGTTTCTGAAGCATACAGAAGCAATATTTAAATTTTTGTAAATCATTTGAAAAAGTTGATCATCCTATTTAACGTATACTGGTTCATATAAGTCAGTTACCCAGATTTTGGTTGTTTGTATGTAACTGAATTCTGTAAGCTGAATAGTATATCATGCAACATTAAGAATAGAGTGGGATATCTTCCTGATGAAAGCCGATCTAATGTACTATAAAGATTTACTCCTTAAAGAAACATTTTCTGAGAGTATTGTTAAGTATTTTTAAAGATATTTATATAAGGATACTATGAGAAATATCAAAAATAGAACGTACATTCTGTTGATATGGTGGTAGACCAGTTTGAAAATGACCTTCACTTCCTGTTAACTCTTTTATAAATGAATTATATCCACCTAGAAGACCAATAGCTGCAGCAGCCATTTGAGGAGGTAGACCAGCTGTAGCTGAAACAACATTAGCAAAACCTAATGTTGAATTTGGTGTATTATTAGCATTCACATGTTGATTTAGATGAACTGCAGCTAATGTCTACAAACAAGTAAACAGATACAAACAATATAATAAGATGATTATTACTAATCAGAACAAGGTAGAGGAATGTAATGAATAAATTTAGGACTCAGTTGGTCATACTCTGTTTATGAATAACCAACTATCAGAATTATGAAGGCTGCTTTCTAGTAGACAATTCCTCCCATGTTGTAAAGTATTATTATTATTAGTCCCTTGGGTTCCTAGTGGAATATAGGCTTCACTAGCACGTCTCCAGTGACCTCTGTTCTCTGAGATCTTTTGAACCTGGTTCCACGACAGCCCACAACCTCTCATTTCATCCTCGCACGACCTCCTCCATGTCACCCTCAGCTGGGACGTCCAACTCGTCGCTTCCCATAGGGATTCCACTCAAGCAACTGGCCTGACGCGTGAGGTCCTCAGTCGGCCTTCTCAGTGCATGTCCAATCCATCTCCACTTCCTCCTGCATATTTGTTGCATGATAGGTTCTTGGTTGGTTCGTTCCCAGAGCTCCTGGTTGCTTATTCTTTCTGGCCATCTGATCTTCAGTAGCGAGTGAGCGTAAGCAGTTGTTGATGAATGTCTGTAGTTTATTGAAAATGCCTTTCGTGACGCGCCAAGTCTCTGACCATACAAGAGCACTGAAAATCCGTATCTTGTTCCACATGCTGAGTGCAGAAGATCTCCACACTGGTTTCAGGTTAATGAACGCCTGTCTTGCTTTTCCGATTCTGACTTTGACGTCCTCGTCCGTCCCGCCTGTAGTTGAAACAGTGCTTCCTAGAAAGGTGAAGGAGGTTACCTCCTTTAAGTTTCTCCCGTTGACGGTGATTGGAGTTTGTTGTTGTTGTTGATGGTGGTGGTGCGGTATGTTGTTAAGTATAGCCATGACTTATAGTTATTAGTATTCACATGAACTCCTCTATGTCACCTTCGCCTCAGTTGCCCAACTTATCGTTTCTCCTTTGGATTCCACTCAAGGGTTTAGCCCGGCAAGTAATGTCTCCGAATCGTTTTCTCAGTGTATGCCAAATCCATCTCTTCTTCTGCATATTTTTTAGGCAAGAGAGTGAGAGTAGACTTGAAAATTGAAACTCAAGTTCCGTTGTATTAAATGAGATACTTTACATGATTTACTCTAATATGTATGTTACCAACTGATGGAAAACGTATACTTCCTTAGACGTCTTACATAACTATCTCTTTGCATAAAGCTATCTTTGCAATTCATTGAAGGGAACTTAGTGACACTTTCTTCAGCAATACAAGAACAAAGATATTTTTAGATTAAAATAGGCTCATTATATTTCATGACCTTACATCAGCTAGCCCCAAACACTCTTTAATTGAAGTGAAGTATTAGTAGTAATAACAATTACACAACATACTTTAAATGTGAAATCCCGGATTAACTATAAGCTGGTGAATGAGTCAAGGACACATAGGATTAGTAATCATGAACCTTATTCAAAGTTATTAGCGGCTTATTTCTGATGAGATAGAAAATTCTGGAGGTGTAGAGAGGAGGTGACATCAAACAGACAGGAGTGTAGAAGAAGGAGTTGCTAAAGGTGTTAGTAGATTGCATAACAACAGTGAAAGAAGGAGAGACCCGAACACCCTATCCTCCTTTGTCTAGCATTCAAAGGCGTTGAGACATCTAAGATGAATCCTGTCTGCTGCCAGACTAACCTCAGTTTACAATATAATATGTTCTATAACACAACTCACGTCATCTTCAACTGTACAAATTGATTCACCTGTGCTTATGGAAGTAAGTAAAAACGTAGAACCGAAAGAGGAGCATCTACTCGATTTTATGAGGATATTCCAAGAAATCTGTGTCTCAAAGGTAGCAAGGTGTGTACTAGTGCAATCACCAAGCACCTGATAAAAACAGGATGCAAATAAATGTTTCTCACTCCTTCAACAAACAATGAATGACATGTTTATTACGGTTTATAGAAGCTGTCGCCAACAAACATTTTCCGCCTGACCTATGTACTCAGTAAGAGATTGTAACTAACGTTTCTTTACCTTGGTAACTGTGTGAGTGTTTTACATATGTTTGTGTGCAGTCTTCCTCTTTTTCATGATACCATCATCTCTTCATTAACTACTTACAGACTGTTAATCCCTCAACCTAACGATATCCAGTTTCTTCTCATGTAGATACGTAACGTAGGAGGTCACTAATGACCGCTTCTTTTACACTGTTGTCTGTTTGTTATTACCTCCCCTTCACACCTCCAGAATTTTCTCTCATCAGATAAACTGCCATTCACTTTGATACAGATTGGACTTATTCACCACCTAATAGTTCATCTGAGATCTCAAATCTCCATTTATTTTTTCATATTTAAAGTATGTTGTGTCATTATTATTACTAGTAATGCCTTATTTCAGTTGTAGAGTGTTTTGAGTTAGCTGATGAAATACCGTGAAATAGAATGGGCTAATTTTAGTCTATAAATGCATTTGTTCTTACACTGTTCACATTTCCCAAGAGAAATAAATGTATTACACTTTCTTATCATCATAATGATCATGAGCCACATCAACAAACTCTATTGTCGAAGATAATTTGGTTGATTGTGGCTATCAGAAGAATCCAGGACGCGTGTTTCGTCCTATACGGGACTCATCAGCTGGATGTACCTGCTTCCCAGTTAGTGATGTTGTTCCCATTAAAACTTAGAACCAGGAGAGTTCGTTTCTAACACCCCAGCTTTATCCATCAGGCCACGAAGTTATGATAGGCACTCTTTGTGAGTCGGTTAAAGCATAATTTCCCTGATATTATAGACTGTATGTCTATATCGTTGATTGGTTCGAATTGATTCGCAACTAACAATATCTGCTGTCATAAGACAGGACATGTCTTTCACGGTGAAAGCAAAGCGCGCGGATATTCCCCTTTGAAATAACCTACTTCTGTAAAATATTTAACGTGGTGTGAACATATGACACTTAAGAATGAAAACAATGAAATAACCCTCAGGTAAAAAATGTAAATAATTTCTTAAGCTACTTACTGATAGGAAGTAGCATACACTAGTAATGAAATAATATACTTGGCTCGGACGTAAATTTCTTCGCGCATAGAGATAATATCAACGTTTTTCAAACCATACAGTCATGTTTAGAGAACTATATTCACCAATTATATTCACCAAGACATATCATACAATAGTACAGTCATCCAAAGATCAGTCCACTTTTTGACAAGTGATGACCAGTGCCACTACATACAAAAGTTAATTTCATGAAGGTATCTGAGCTAGTGAAACACCTGAAATGAACATCATTCCGATTCTCAGTGCATTTATCAAGTAGTCTTGACCCTTCAATGACAACTTAAGTACTGTTTACTTCAAGTTAAGAAAGATAAAAGTATACTAAGTTTATTTATTCAGAAAACTTGTTATAATCTGAAAGATTATTGAATTTCAAACTTACGCTTAATTATCACTAAACGATCATGTTCTGATTGATTAAATATATATTAAAAATGCTAAATCAACTAAATATTGCCTACTAGGAAGTTTTGAATTTCAATCGTGTTTCATGTTACTGTGTGGGCTGGAAAAACCTGATTGGACAATTTTGTCTTACAACTGACCAATCAGAATAAGTATAAATGCGACATAGTGGCTTTATTTTCCGAGGGAAAGTTGTGTATAAATGATGTATTTTTCATCAAATAGAATTGTTTTCCTTACAGCCACAGACTGGTCTTTGTCTTCTGATTTACGGGCTCTGTGAAATTTCAGATTCAAGGGAGGACAATGATGGATAGTGGCCAGCAGTGGAATCCAAGACGCGCGCTTCGTCCTATTTGGGACTCACCAGTCAGCTGGATGTACCTGGGCCCCAGTCAGTGATGCTGTTCCCACTGAGACCCGAACCTCGTACTCATTGTCTCAAACGCCAGAGCGTTATCGACTACATCACCGATGGGAACAACATCACTCACCGAGAATCAGGTACATCTAGCTGCCGAGTCTCAAATAAGAAGAAATGTGCATCCTGGATTCCACTGCTGGCCACTATCCATCATTACTACCCTTAGAGCACTGGTACTATCGAGGCATCTTCACAGGACCCATATGCCAATAGAGACGGATCAGTTTGGTCCAGTCAACGACGTATGATAGAAAAACAATTATACTAAGGGAGAACGGTTCAGGTGTATAATTGTGTTAGATTTTACACCGTTATCATGCATTCGATAGGAATATGAGGTAAAAACAATCTACTTACTTGTTGTTGTTGATGCTGTTGTAATTGTGCAACAAACGATGTTACATTCGATTGATTTGGTTGATGACTAGAAAAGTAATTAGTAGTATTATTTCTTATATGCGGATTTGCACTCTGAGATAAAGCAGATACAGTAGCTGGAGATGATCCAGCTCCACTATTTGAACTCGATGAATTCGATGTACTTGTATGACAAAATGACACTTGTGTACTATGCTGGGGTGATAAGGCAAGTGTAGACGGTGAACAAACTGTCCCACAAACAGAAGATGGATTTGGAGAACATAAAGCTGCAGCTGCATTGGCATGCGCGATTGCAGCTTGAACCATTTGTAGACTAGGAATAGGAGATGGACTGCCGGTTTGTAGACCATAACCACCAGGATTCATATTTCCGGAGACCAAAGTCTGTGAAATAAATAATAAAAAAAACTACTATGAGTCATGGAAATATCATGTGAGATGAGCTAAATAAGATGCTTCTAGTCAAAAACTGCTCATTTCTTGTGTTTAACTGGATCATGGCTGAGCACTGCTAGGACGAAACGGCTGTCCTTTGCTCCCAAGTTTCCAATGTTTCTCCAGCTGATTCCAGTCCATGATGAATTCCAATCTGAAACTAAAATTTGCCTAAAACAACCGCCATTAGATGTCATATGGGTTTAAGAGAATGAGGAGAAATCGAAAGATTAACCACATTTTTTTACATTAGTTTATCATGTGATTTGATTCTGAATATAACTCACATTCCGGCATGATAACAATCTATGCAGCTTAATGCCTGACTTCTGCATATAAGTAGTACATGTTGAGAAGTTGGCAGAGCGATAGGTAAATATTCTGTCCAGAGAAACTCAAGAGACAACGTGGGCGTATTAAGAGAGATTGGTGTCACTGCTTCTGGACGTGGTGAAAATACTGTAGCCTGCAGTGTTCGAGGGTGGAAAATCTAGATCTTCCTCGGAGATTTCGAGTCTGTCGTGAAGTTGGTGAGTGTAAGTGATCAAGGAGAAAGGGTCATGGTGCTTGACACGTTGCTGGGGGGGGGGTAGAGCGAAAGCGGCGTATGACAGCGTACAACGCGTGAATGGAAAGGAGATTTGCGAGAGTATGGTTGAATGCCTGGAGATGGAGTATGACAGCTCAGTGGACAAGGAGCAGGCGACGTAACTGTTCCAGATTACAAAACTTGGAATAGACGAAAATCCACTGGTATTCGCTGTGAAGTTGACTAAACTACTTCGATGAGCGCTTCTCGCTTTGATAAGGGTTCTCAGGAGCAGTTGCTGGCTGCATAGTTCTCCGAAAGTGTCCCGAATGCTATCGCCCAGCAACTACGACTAGTGAACGCAACCCAACCCATTGATATTAGTCAGCTGGCCAAGGTGACCAGACATCTAATAGGTACAGCAGTAGCTGCGGTAGAGTCATCAGAGGTAAATAACCAGAGAAAACAAGTCGGTAACTTTCGAGGGGAGGTGGATGCACTTCGAACGAATATCAACAGACAAGGTAAATGCTTTGCATGTTGGAAAATTGGACACTGGTGAAGAAACTTTCCGGAGAAACGAAGAAGAAAATGTTTTAAATGATGTATTATGGCTCCTGTTTTTCCGCCTAGACTGTATGTCGTATGAGCCATAGACAGAGGTGCTGTGTATGCTAGAATGGGAATAAATGATCGGGAGATCGCGCGTTTAGTAGATACGGGGGAGGCAGTCTTGCTGATAGGTAAGAGTCAGTCTCAGAACATAAGACCATGTGCGTTAACGGTCCACACGGTTGGTGGACATGCATTAGAAATTGCAGACCGAGCAAATTGTGTCATCGAGATCGGAGGTCGGAAAATTAGATTCCGATTCATTATCACCATGCGTCTACAAAGGACAATTCTAGGTGCTGACTTGTATGAGGGAACAGGAATAGTTGCTACAAAGTTTGATAACAGTGGCGTGGTAGAGGCTGAGGTATTAAAAGCACCGCCAAACATCATGAAGTTGGTTAAAAATACGATAGGTGACTCACGGGGATAGAGACTCCTATGGATACTGTGATGAGGTTCAACATGAAATCCTGATGACGAGTCAAAGAGTGACAACATTTATAACACGTTGAGTGTTATGTCATTCAGAAGAAGGAATTGGGCGGTAAGTTCAAGAAATATTGAATGAATACATCACTGAAGAGGCTGATAGACCTTACAGTTCGCTAGTGTTTTTAGTAAAATAGTTCAATGAGAAACAGATTCTGCGTTGATTTCCTAGAGTTAAACGGCATAATGAAACTGAAGCTATGTACCATGAAGATAGTAGCTAAACACTGGATCGTCTGCAGAATATTTACCCATTTCTTGTAACTGCCTATGACTTCTGCCAACCTCTCAACATATACTACTTAAAACCATTCTTATCAATATCACCCACTGCACTGGTGCATGTCCTTAACTCTGATTTCTTGGGTACATAATTCATTGACTGAAGTGAATGAAAGTCGAAGTATCAGTAACCGCTTCCTCAGATCTAACTTTATAGATAGATGAAAATCAACATAGAATCTCGAACAAAAATACATCAGTTCAAGTTATCGAACGACATATCACTAAGTAAAAACCAAAAGGGTTGAAAAAGAATCAAATCAGATTATGCAAGTGTTTGTGAAGTAAATGAATTTGAATCTATAAAAGTTGAGTGAAAATGTTCATCTAAATCTACACTACTGTGAACGACTTTCAGTCATTTCAAAAAGGATTCTTAAATATTCATTCTTACAGTCTCTGGACCTCAGTCAAATAGTCTACACCTTCCTATATAACTTAAACCAGTAGTCAGAGACTTCATGAACAAACAGGTTGTATTTTTCAATCTAACCATCCTGAGATGTATTTGAGTCAAATTTTACTTCAGCTAGCACTGGGCGTCAAGGTATATCTACAAACAATTTTAGTGTTTGTTCCAAAGATGAATGATATAGCTAAAGTACTTCGTCATCATTATCAACATAGGACCATGCATTACTGCGTAACGGTCCGACTTCCACCACACCTCACTTCAGTTCATCAAGTAGAAAGGTAGTGAGGTGAAGGATGAAGATAAGTGAATGCAGTCAAAAGAAATATAAAGTACGAGAAGAAAGGAAAGAGGAGTGACAAAATGGTGAGATTCGGTATAGCGTTGTTAAGATGAGGATAATGTGTGTATACATCTGCGCCACTGACTTCGGTTCTGAGCCATAATCACCTAGAGTCAGTCTCCAACCACTGGTTCCTCTTGTCCCGTCGACCCCAACCACCTAGTCTGTATCGTCCTACATGGCTTAAACCAACAGTCAGAGACTTCATACATTGGTGCCATGTTTTAGTCTGGCCACCTCGGACCTTTTTCCAGCCTGGACCCACCTCAGTCAACATTGTGTGATGAGGCAAGTCGGTGACTAGGCATACGCTAGTACGTGTCCCAACCATCTCAGTCGATGAAGGTTCACAACCTCGTCGACTGACTTACCTCTTCTCCCCAAAACTCTACACCTAACTTCTGCATTACTCACATGGTGATACCACGGAATACGTCCTATACTACGAAAGCAACGGTGATCAAACACCTTAAGCCTTTTTGTATCTCCACTTTCAATGGCCATGTTTCACAGCCATACAGTAGGTCAGAGCGAACTGCTGTGCAGTACACGCGACCCTTAGTAGACAAACGAATATCACGGCGGCGTCATAGGTGGCGCAGCTAAAGTACGTAATAAATTACAAGCGTTAAACAAAGTCAGTCAAACTAGTAAATGATTGTAATACTTGACATTTGAGTGATTGCTACTTATGAAAGGTAAATTAGATAGAATAATAAAGGATTGAAGAAGAGTTTATAAATAAAGCTACAACATATACGTCACTTGAAAAGTAATCGATAAAGGTATACCTTTCAGAGTTGTTTGCTTTAACAGTCTCTCCACTTCCTGTGTCAACAAAGTACTCCGAGAAACTCTGTCACATCTTGGATTCCACTCAAAAAAATACGTTTACAAAACATATGTAGTAAATATATATGCTGTATTTAGAATCACTGACTAAAGATTACCCAAAACTTCTAAATATGATTATTCTGTGTAAAATTTTGGACCGTAATTCGATTTCTATAATAAAGACCCATTAATTATGTCATTTTTATTATAAACAGAAGAACACCTCGATGAACTTTCGTTATGAAGTGTCCTTTGAGTTCCTAGTGGAACATAAGGCTTCAGTAGCACGGTGCTATTTCACTCTCCTCTCTCCAGTCTTGTCAACTTGTCTCCACGACCCCCAAAAGCTTCCATCTCTTCCTCACACACCATCTCCTCCATGTCACCTTCCAATGTCCAACTCATCCTTTTCCATTTGGCTTCTAATTGACGGCCTGGTCTGAAGTGTGATGTCTCCAAACGGTTTTGTCAGTGTCTGTCCAATCAAATCCACCTCCACTTCCTTCTCATACACATTTGTTTGGTGATAGGTTTTTCGTTCATTGATTCGTTGCCAACCAGAGTTCCTTGTTGTTTATTCTCTTTGGTCGACCGTCTGATCTTCAGTATGGAGCGAGCGCAAGCAGCAGATGTAGATGTATGACGTCTGCAGTTTGTTGGAAATGCTTTCTGTAACGCGTCCAAGTCTCTACAACCATCAAATACAATCACCAACTTGACTGAAATTGGTAGTGTTGAAAATCCGGATGTTGTTCCACATGCTGAGTGCGGTGGAATTAGATCTCCACACTGAGTTCAGATTAATGCAGTAAGGGCTGTGTTGCCTGTACCTATGCTACCACCTGTAGTTGAGACGATGCTGCTTGCCTAGGTAGTTGGATGAAAGAGAAGACTTCATTCTGATTTCTCCCACTGATGGTGACTGGGGCTTGTTGTTGTTGGTTGGGTATCCTCATCACCTCTATCTTCTCTACGTTCACCTGAAGGGAGTCCGTCTTCTCGCGCTGCCCTGCCTCTTCTAACAACTTCTTAGTTTTCGCCTGTACATCTTCGAGTTTCTGCGACATTACACACTAGACATAAATAATCATCGGCGAAATGCAAATCTTCTAAGGTCATTTCATCGGTTGAACAACGAATGTCCATCTCACTCCTCATAGTTGTTTCTTGCATGATCCAGTTCAGTCGAGCCGAGTCGACCACAGTCAGGAAGATGATCAGTGATAGAAGGTGGTAACCTTGTCTTACTTGTCAACCTGTATTCACTGCACTTCACTTCACTTCACTGGCATCACTGAGCTATCCATTGTCATCACTTGGTATGTAGCATCCTCATATAATATATATCTGCTATTGAATGAGGTTGATGACGGTTTGTGGCACTCACTCTCTAACTTTGAAGCGGCTGCCAAATCACTTCTCTATCGACGCTATCGAAGGCCTTCTCAAAGTCTATGAAGTTAAGGTACAGGCATAATGGACTACCATTCTATGGTCTGTTCTATGATCATGCGTAGCGTAGTGATGAAATTTGATCCGCAGGCGTTATGACGTGTAACCGGCTAGCAATGTGACAAAATATCTTCCAGTGAGAGCTGTCATTTTGCTTAGTACTAGATAATGATAAAGACCAGTCCAAAGAAAACCAGTCAGTTAGACATCAGTTATAAAACAAATGTGACCTTTTTGTTTATTTCATTGCGCATAAACAGATAAAATGAATGATTTTAAAGGTCATCCTAGCAACTACCTGAATAAACCAATCAATGTTCGATATTTTGCTTGGAAGACTACTTTATCATAAAATAAAGGGAATGTAATTACCTATCTCACCAGTTACTGGGGTGGCCTTTAAAGTCACCCGATAAGATCATAAAATGATATATAAATATTCCTGCCTGTTTAGTTCAAAGTTTAATTATCATCCAGCCACGGAAACAGATAAATCTTTGTCTACATGTGATGGCCGCGGTCTCGAAATTATTTTACTCCATATAATTTCTTAAGTATAAATTTTTTTATTTTCTCATATGAACAGCAGTGTAATTTATACTTAGAAGACAGAAAATTTTACAAATAGACCATAATCAATAATCTTCTTACTATGTATGATAATGATTGGCAGTGGCTAACAGTGGAATCCAGGATGCACACTTCGTCCTATTTAGGACTTGTCAGCTGGATGTATCTGCCTTCCAGTGAGTGATGTTGTTCCCACTGGGACTCGGACAAGCAATAAGCACTAAACTATACCCGTCGTACAAGAAGTGGATATCGTGGCTCGGTGGTGTAGTGGATAAGGCTCTGGAGTTTGAAGCGATCGGTCCCGATTTCCAGTCCCGGTGGGAACAACATCAGCTGACGAGTCCTAAATGAGACGAAATGCGAGTCCTAAATCCCACTGCTAGACACTGCCCATCATCACTATACATAGTTAAAAGACAGGCAATATCGAGGCATCCGCATAGGAGCCTATATGCCAACAGAGACTGATCAATTCGTCCAAACAACGACAGTGTAATACAAGCAATAACACTAAATAACCTTTTTGGTTAAAAAACTGCATTTTGAACTGAAAACATACTCGAAAATTATTAGCTTGAAGTAATCCTGTTGCTGAAGATAGATAGGCTGTATTTTCATAAGCAGAGGCAAGTGAAGGTAATGCAGGAATTGGTGCCCATTGAGCAGCTGCTGCAGCGGCCGCTGCTGCTGATGAGCATCTGCTACTGAAGCGAAAATTCCATTTGATGTTTCAACTATGAACAAAAGAAAAAAAAAGTTAGATAAAAGTGTATTCACCGAAAATGGAATTAGTGAGCTTCAATGTATGGGTGCAATACAATTCAGAAGAAAGGTATCACCATATTATATTGATTTAAACACTAAAATTTCAAAAAACGAATTACGTGTTTGAGCTACGCTGCATTTGTTGACGTTGGAACATTCAAATCTTCTCAGTTGGTCTTAACATATGAATTGCACCCTGCTAAAAATAAACTTGTACATGCTTTTTTATTCCTACCACTAAAAAATGTAATGTTGTTATGCCTTCATACTCGAAAAACTACACGCAAAAACTAGCAAGTTAACAGAAGAGGCAGGGCAGCGAAGACCGGACTTCCTTCAAATGAATGTAGAGAAGACAGAGATGATGATGATAGCCAACCAGCACCACCACCAACAACAACAAACTCCAATCACCATGAACGGGAGAAATTTAAAAGAAGTAGCCTCTTTCACCTATCTAGGCAGCACTGTTTCAACTACAAGTGGCGGCACAGACGAGGACGTCAAAGTCAGCCAGGATCGGAAAGATAGCAAGACAAGCTTTCATTAACCTGAAATCAGTGTAGAGATTTTCTGAACTTAGCTAAAGAACAAGAAATGGGTTTTCAACACAGTGTCAATCAAGTCAGTGCTTCTATATGGTTGAGAGACTTGGCACGTTACGAAAAGCACTTCCAACAAACTACAGGTATTCATCAACAATTGACTAGGGTCGATACTGAAGCTTAGATGGCTAGAAAGAATAAGCAAGGAGGAACTGTGGTCTGCCAGCGAACCAACGAGGCAAGAACCTATCACCCAACAAATATGCAGAAGACGAGAGTGGAGATGGATTGGATTGGGCATACACTGAGAATGCCGATTTAAGACATCACGCATTAGGCCAGGTGGTCGAGTGGAATTGAAATGGGAAACGACGAGTTAGGCGTTGGATGTGAGGGTGACATGGAGGAGATGGTGTTTGAGGAAAAATGAAAGGTTGTGGGCAGTCGTGGAGCCCGGTTCAAAAGATTGCAGAGAAAAGAGTGTGCAATGTAGACTTGCTAGTGATGCCCTATGTTCGACAAGGAACCCAAGGGACAAATAATAATAATTCATATATTTAGACAAGCTCATGAATAGTCGATTGATTCTTTAATGAGGCGATAAATCAAATAAGAAGCTTCGAGTGATGAAAATGATCAACACTGAAGCATGATGTTACTCAACAAGAAGTTAAACAAACTGCAAACGTTGTACTTCCACGACTGTGAACCTAATCCACCTAAAATATCAATATGTTTTATTCAGTATAATAAGCATTTTGACGTCTCCATGTAACCATCGCATATCTTCTACTTACAGACAGAAACAGGCTTAACTTCGCTTACTGATTATTTGAGTTCCAGCTAATCTACCAAGGATTTTCAGATTTAGAGACTCAGGTCTGCTCCCTAGTGGGGTCATGAGTGCGCGTCATTGAGAAGTTGCAAACTAGGATGAAACAGCTATCCAGCGCTTCGAAGTTTCCATTGCTTCTTCCATGATGAATACTAGTCTGAATCTAAATTTTATTTTGATGTCAGTTATCATACTTATACAAGCCAGTTGAATTCCATATTAGATTTGTTTATTTGATATATAGCGCACAGTGATACAGTATTATTTAATTGATTACGTTTCGAGCATAAATTATTGCTCATAATCATATCAATGTAATCACACACAAGTTTCGATATCTGATTTTATAGTCCTGTCACCTGATCTCTGTTTTTTTTTTGATTGGTAGTAAAGTTTTCCATATCTCTGGTATAGATGTTGCGTCATTCCTATTACATGTGTTGGGTGTGGATTCGATGAACAAAGATTCAGTAATTAATCTCTCTCTCTCCACCTAGCTATATTAGACTTAAGTACAGTGGTTTTGTCCCACCCTATTGTGTGGTTGTGTGTTAATGAATGTAATGCAATGGCCGAGTGTTTTTCTAGGTTATTGATCTTATTGGGGTCTGCCGTTCTATGTTTAGCTAAATTCCTATGTTCTGTTAATCTAACTGACCCCGACCGGCTAGTTTGACCTATGTATTTGACTTCACAGTCATTACATGGAATTTGGTAGATTATATTATTTTGCTTAATTGGTTCTATCGGATCTTTTAGCCGACAAAGCTTACCTCTAAGTGAGTTTGTTGGTTTAAATGCCACCCTAATTCCAACCTTGTTGAGAATCCTACGTATGGTTTCTGATGTTCCTTCCTTGTATGGTATCACAATAGAGGTGTTGATTTCCTTTCTACTTATGTTGTCACTATTATTTGTATTTGTATTAGTGTTATTATTTTGCTTCTTATGTGTCCGTGTGAATTTCTTAATAAAATGATGGGGATAATTATTAATTATTAACGCTTCTTTTATGTGTTTCAATTTCTTTTTTAAGTCCTTACAATGACTAGTGAGTTTCTCAGCTCTGTTATTTAGACATTTGACTAAACCCGCTTTAACTGACACTGGATGAGATGACTTGAAGTCTAGATACCTGTTAGAATGTGTTGGTTTTCTGTAGACGGTAGTATCTAAACCACCATCTATCCTTCGTTTTATTCTGCAATCCAACATAGGTAATTCTCCTTGTTCATTTTCTACTTCGTAAGTGAATTGGATTGCGTTAACTACTGAGTTTATGTGTGTCAAGAAACTGTCGATATGTTCCGATTTCAACACTGTAAATGTGTCATCCACATATCGCCACCATATCTTAGGTGTCGGATTATATGTTCGTAAAGCCATATCTTCCCAACTATCCATAAATATATCTGCTACTATAGGGGATATTGGTGATCTCATTGCTACTCCTTCTGTTTGTCTATATATCTTTCCCTGAAACTTGAAGACTGTCGAGGTCAAGCATAACTGCAGTTATGCTTCCAAGTTTCCATTGCTTCTTCCATGATGAATACTAGTCTGAACCTAAATTTTATTTTCACATCAGTTATCATACTTATACAAGCCAGTTGAATGTTAAGTTTCTTGTATAATAATACAACTTACTAGTTGATCCAGCAGCTGCCAATTGAGCAAATATTGATGGTTGAAGACTAGCAACCATACCAGTTAGATTACCAGTAGAAATAAGATTTGTTTGACATGAACCCAAATTAGCCAATGATGTATGTTGATTCAATACATTTTGATGTGAGTTAATTGCATTCATATTAGTAAAACTAATAGGAATTGTCGTTTTCGGTTTCGTAACCTTAGTATTACTTCGAGCAAATTCTAAACGCATATGCTGATTCCCATCCGGATCAAATTTAACACCCTGAAAATAAATTAATGAAAATAATAGTAATAATAATAATATAGTAATTTATCAAATACACATAACGTTTACATCAGTTGGGGAACCACTGACCATCTGGGAGCACTGGACACCTGTTTCGTCCTAGTATGAAACTCCTGAGCAGTACGCACCTACGACCCAGCTAGCGATGGAACTCAGGATGTTCAGGTTTCAAGGAGAACGCGTTAACCATACAGCCACTGGGTCGGTTTCCAGTGGTTGACAATTTCCAACTTCTGTGAATTTATGACTATCACCAAAGATCTTCAGTTAGCATCCACTTCACTTCCGACTGGTTGACCCTACAGGTCGCGACTTCTCACTACACCTACCTGATATCCATCTGGAAACAAGTCACTAATGAGCACTATACAGTAATGTATTTATCAGATGAATGGGGATATTTTTAATTTGGAAGTAGTATCCGTCATGGACGAGGATAGAATGGCAGTCAACTCTCTACCTCAACTTCATCGACTTTGAAAAGCCTATCGACGGCATCGACCGACAAGTAATTTGGCAGTTGCTTCGACACTAAAGAATACCACAAACCTCTGTCAGTCTCATTCAACAACTATATAAACACGCCACATACCAAGCAATTCACAATGCAAACCTCAGTGATGTCTTCGAACTGAAGTGTGGACAGGAGTAAGACAAGACTGTCAACTTTCACCTATGATATTCCTCATCGTAGTGGACTGGATCATGCAAGAAACAGTGAGGAGTTGTGAGAAAAGGGGGATACGCTGTTTGACCGGGAAAAACATCCTAGAAGATTTGGATTTCGCCAGTGATGACTTGTGTCTAATGTCTTGTGGTACAAACTGGAAGATGTACAGGCGGGAACTAACAAGTTGACAGAAGAGGTAGTGAAGATGGGACTTCAAGTGAATGTAGAGAAGACAGAGGTGATGATGATACTCAATCAATACCACCACCACCACCACCAAATAACAGCCACAAGCTCCAGTCACCATGAACGGGAGAAACTTAAATAAAGTAGCCGCCTTCACACATCTGGTCAGAAATGTTTCAACTACAGGCCGTCCGGGCACATACGAGGATGTCAAAGGGAGGATGAGAAAGATAGCAAGACAGGCGTTGATTAGTCTGAAACCAGTGTGGAGATCTACTGCACTCAGCACAAAGCGTGAACAAGTTCCTGATTCTCAACACCAAAGTCAACTGAGTGCTTCTGTATGGCTCAGAGACTTGGCATTTCCAACAAATTACAGACATTCATCAACAACTGCCTACACTAGTTCGTTACTGAAGCTCAGATGGCCAGAAAGAATAAGCATGGAGGAACTCTGGGAACGAACCAATGACGCAAGAACCTGTCGCTCAACAAATATGCAGGAAGGAAGGAAGGAAGTGGAGATGGATTGGGCATACACTGAGAAAGCCGATTGGGAACATTAAGCACCAGGGTGACGTGGAGGAGATCGTGTGAGGAAGAAATGAAAGCTTGTGGGCAGTCGTGGAGCCAGGTTCGCAAGATTGCAGAGAATAGAGTGAACAGGAGACGTGCTACTGAAGCCCTATGTTCCATTAGGAACCCATGGGATAAACAATAATAATAATTCATCATGGACTGACATCAGTTGGGAAATCATTGAAAATATGGGGCCACTGGACACCTGTTTCGTCCTAGTATGGGACTCCTCAGCAGTAGGCATCCACGACCCGGCTAGGAATCGAACCAGGACCTTCAGGTTTCACGATGAACGCGTTAACCATACTACTTCTAGATTTGAAAAATCCCCATTCATCTGAAAAAAAACGTTTGTATTAAAGTAAATTTATGTAACTTTTAATTGAAGACATCGACTGATAATAATGTTGTTGAACACCTACTATCCTTCAAGTCATCTGATAGAATATATTCATGGCAACCTCCTTGAACTACTAAAAGTTTTCCATTGAATATATATTTCATCAAATTATTTTGTTTAAATTTATTCTAAATGTAACATGTAGTCTGGTACACCTTTTAAAAATGTTTTCAAGCTAAGAAGATAAGAAATAAAAAACGTTATTACAGATGGAATTGAATTGATAAATGGATGAAACTATAGCTGAATACTATTTCTCTAAAACATATATGGAATCATAGATTTTTGTACTTGTTGAATGAAATATCAACATGAAAATTATGACTAGATTGTTGAAGTCTTTTGGAATCGTTTAAGAATATTTTGTAGATCAGGTGGATGGTCTTAATTATTAAGTATTATGTTCTCTAAACTGGATTGTTTAGTCATGGAGCTTTCATTATCTTCCCAGACGATATCATCATCACTAACTTCAGTATGAAGTGAGTTATCTGAATCTCTCTGTGACTAATTTAGTAGTTTCCCCTGACCAATTGGTTGATGATTGATTGTTTCCTCTGATTATTGTATCACTAACTATTCTTCCTCGGTTCTACGGTAGACCAAAACTACACAAACCAGACATCTGTCTACGATCAATTTTCTCACTTTCGAAAACTCCAACATACAACATATCAAGAGAACCTTGGAGACAAATTGAAACACCTTCTTCAATCATGTGAACATTCCATCAAAGTACTAGCAGAATTCTTAGAAAAGATCGAAAGCATTAACATGACCAATCAATGGTATCGTTTGATTTTACAGCATTATACACATCAATCGAACCACAAGTGGCCAACGAAACTATTTCCTATCTGCTCAATGAAGGTACAAACCTTTCAGAAGGTACGAAAATTTACTGTTCAAGTCTAATGGAACTCACTGGTTTTTGCCTGAAGACATACTTCCAATTTACTGACAAGATATACTGACAGATGAAAAGAACCCTGGTGGGATCACTGATATCTACAGTAATTACAATACGTTTGTCATCATTCAACAAGATGATACAGAAAACACCCACAATTTGATCAACAACATTTTCAATGATATCAAATTCACAATGGAGAATGAGTCAAACAACCAACTACCATTCCTGGATATTCTAGTCAGTACGATAAATGTCTGAAAGCTGGAAACTCAAGTGTACAGTAAGCCAACACACACTGATCAATTCCTCAACTACAGTAGCAACAATCCAACAACGCATAGAGTTACTTGAGTTCAGACTCTATTCAAAAAGGCAAGAACACACTGTAGTACAACAACTTCACGGAGAAATGAAGAAAATTACTTGATATCCACCCTAAAGAAGAACAGCTACCCACCAAACTTTATCTCAATATGCTATCCCGTACATGGTCATCACAAAGCAATCCACAGAAATCAACAAACAGATCATCCAACCGTACATAAAGAATATACCAGAAATCATGACAAGATTACTGAAACTACTCAGAATTGGTAAGGCCACTCATCAACCAACAGATTCCCTCTAAACACTATTATGCACATCAAATGATGCAACAACCAAAGAAGACAAACCGAATATCATTTACAAAATCAACTGCAATCACTGTAGTGAACATTACACTTTGGATAAAGTGATCACCCTCTTCGCATTCGTCTACATGAACAACAGTTAGCTACTGAATGTCACGATATTTCGTCACTCATTTCAATACACTATGGACAAGGATTGGATTTTGACAACGTAGAAATTTTGGACGGAGAAAGGAAACACAAAGAATTTCGCCAGAGAATTCCTAAAGGCTTGGTATTCAGCTCAGTCAGTCAGCAATCAACAGATATATTGACATTAACCCAACCGATCAATCAATAAGAAATAACAGCAAGGTCAAATTTCAGGTCACCAGGGGGAACCAATGAAAATAAATATGGAGACAATGACAAGACCTTGGTAAAACAACCAATCACACACAAGGCTATTAAGACAAATTACTATTCCATACTTGTGGAGAAAATCCTATAGCTCATTTCTTGTTGAAGTTCATGCTGATGGTGTTGCCTAGAATGACAATTAGAGCTTGGTGATCAAACTATCTAGCTCAGGAGAGAAAAACACCACTTATCCATTCTTTAGTTCGAACCAGATGCTAATGTAATATCAGCTGCCCGTTTCACATTATTGCCCATAATAATAGTAGTGCGAGCAGCATTAGTAGTAGTAGTAGTAGTAGTAGTGGTAGCAGTAGTGTGAGTAGTAGCAGTAGTAATAGCAGCGGTAGTAGCAGCAGTGGTAAAAAATCAACCGCAGAAGGATAATACCCAACGGTAACGAATGGTTATGAAACAGTTCAGTATGGTGTATTATATAACAAATAGTTCTAGGCTAAAAACATCAATCTAGCTGCATTAAGGGAAATTAATTTCTGTTTTAGACTACCATGTAGAAATTTTATTTCATATAACAAACTAGGGTGTGAACAGAAACTGATACACCCAATTATCGAATTTTTCAATAATTTTGATTGATATACCCATTTAAGTAGTATGAAAATAATCTGTGATATATCATGGGTTTTAATCGTTAAAAATTAGTTCTTTATTATTTTTTAGAATTTTTAGCTTATTTCAAGTTGATATTCCTCGTACACTGATATCATTTGGAAGAACAAAGGAAACCTGGGAGCACTGGACAGCTAGCCGTTTCATCCGACTAGTATGGGACTCCTCAGCAGTGCGCGCCCACGAGCCAGCCAGGGATCCAGCCGCGACCTTCAGGTTCCATCCCTTTCGTAACACGCCAAGTTTCTGAACCATATAGGAGCACTGACTTCACGCTGGTATTGAAAATCCGGATCTTTTTCTTTAGCTGAGTGCAAAAGGTCTCCACATGGTTTCAGGCTAATCAACACCTGTCTTGCTATCTTTCTCATCCTCCCTTTGACATCCTCGTATGTGCCCGGACGGCCTGTAGTTGAAACATTTCTGACCAGATGTGTGAAGGCGGCTACTTTATTTAAGTTTCTCCCGTTCATAGTGATTGGAGCTTGTGGCTGTTATTTGGTGGTGGTGGTGGTGGTATTGATTGAGTATCATCATCACCTCTGTCTTCTCTACATTCACTTGAAGTCC